GGGATTCGAACCCGCGACCCTCAGATTGCGAGTCGAGCGCCTTAACCACCTGGCCATGTCGGGCCACATTTTATGTGAAAAGAACTGCAAGTGTTTAAAATAACAAATAAATTCAGAATAAATATTAATGCTATAGAAAGGAAAACTCATGATATAATCTTACATCATATCTCCCACCTCCTAAGGTTTACCTCAATTTAATTGAATTCAAAAAACAATAACTTTAAACACCCATTGGTCAAGAATTATACTAACTCTCTGTCTTGCTTCCAAACATTAACACTTTTAATGGAAGTCACAAATCTTGAATGATGGAAGTACATGAACATAATCCAACCCTTCACTTTGAATTCTACACCATAATACAAAATAAACCTTTAAACATAGAAACGTTTCAAAATGATATTACCGTTTACCACTGTATAATCCTGGTTGTGGCTCGCAAAATGTCAAAATATTGGGCTTGTTCTTCTTAATATTATATATAGCATTAGTATTTAGTAAATAGGTTGAATAGTATGGGTGTTGGGCTAAGAATATTTTTACAGTAGTTGTTTGTGACTTGTTGGCGATAATTCAACGATAAATGAATAGCATGCACTCCACTTGTTTTCAAAATAATATATATTCGAACTAGTTAAACGTATGTACAACAAATTCTTTACAATATAGAGATCATAGGCATATCATAAACACTATATATAATTCTATTCTTATTGTAAAAGTCCAATTAGGTCTATTCAATTGTTTTAGAATTTCAGTTGAAAAGCCGAACTACCTTTCTCTATTTCTATTGCGCTAGTATTCCGTGTATAATTCACTTACAATTATAGCGTGAGTACCACAGTCATATACTGCTCTTCTAGAAATCATTTGGTCCTGGTACTTCAGATATTGTATGTTCCTTTTTGTCAAAGTGCACTCCCGCTGGTTCAATAACTTTAGAACTCGCTTTGATGGAATAAACTATACTTCTTTTCTATTTTATTACTGTCAGTTTTACTCTAACTTATTACTCGCTAGGCCTATATTAACCGTTAGGCCTTTCACTCCTACGCAGGGCCTCTGAAAGGAATTTTACCAGGGGATACAAATTTCTTTCGGGCCCCCTTCCCTTTTCCATTATTCATCCCGTCTTTATCCATTACGGTTTTATGCCACGAGCTGTAAGGCCAAAAAGAGTATGCAGTATGAGAGAGGGGTGGAATAGAGCCCTCTGTTGATTTTCTGCATTAGAGGCCTTATGCTCCTATACTCCCTCCATGATAAATATACAAAAATAAAAGAGAATCAGAGAGAAGAAAGCACTGTTACGTCTCCGTTTGTTAATTAACTTTCCGTAACTTCGTTCCGACGAAACTTTAGCGACACAAGTCCTTTCTTAATAAAACTGGTTTATTCTTTCTGAATATAACTTTACCGATACACTCAACTTCAACAGTTGCGCTATAACAAACTATAACAACGAACGTTAACTTCAACAATACGTCTCTCTCTGACTGCAGTTCAATTACTCATTACCTACACACACATTATTCTGTCACGTTGTCACCCTCTTTTATATACCAGACTACCCTATATCTAGTAATCTCTCGAAGGTTCGAGAGAAGGAGTGGCGTGATAATAGTCACGTGATCTCGCTGACGCAACAGCACATTTGAACATCTTTGTTTATTCTACAATACAGATAAGGAGAAAGAATTCACATTGAAACATCCTTTTATATTGCAATGCAGATCAGCAGACATAATTATTAGTAAAAAGTAAAAAAAGTAGATAGGCTTAGTATATACTTTACAAAAAAGAGCTTTCCTGGTCCTCTTTGTCAAAAATGTTGAATCACAGCATGAAAATTAATTGTTCTGGCAATGTTTGATTCAATACTTAGCTTGGCCAAATCCACAAGACGTTCTTGAGACATTGTAGACCTTAAATAATTCTTAATCAGCTTGAGTTTGCTAAATGACCTCTCTGCAGAAGCTACTGTTGCTGGAATTGTTATTAGTATTCTTAAGCTAACACAAATATTTGGAAACAGGTCACCAAGTCTGTACTCTGTTAACATGTTCAGCAGATCTAATGGTTTTAACTGTGCATTTCAAAAATTTGCTTTCTGTACTGAGGGTAAATGTTGCATTTCTTTTCCAAAATCATCACCGTTAAGGTCAGCAGGATATTGCTCTGATATAGATAAAGCTTTTCTCTCCATACCACTTTCAGACATGGTGAGATATTTCCATAAGAAATTAATTTTTTTTCAGCCAACTGCTTTGCAGCATTGAAGCGGACAGTTAATCCTGCTATAACATTGTCTACCAAAATATAAAACACACACTTTCTGAAGTAGGCCTCTTCTGGAGTATCATCTGTGTCATTCATTTTCTCCAGATTAGCATCAGGTGTGCTGTCATCATGTGACCTTGCCCTCTTGCACCTAACTCCACCACATTTATCGAAGAGTTCTATTTCTATCTTTAGGTTTGATGCAACCAATTTGGCTTCATTCCATATGCATTTCCAGTTGTTTCGAAGTTTTGTCAAATCTGTGAGGAGAGTTTCTATGTTCGTTACTTCAACATCCAGTGTGGCATCTCTGGCTTGGATGACCTTGTTGCAATTATCTATGCCAGCTAATAATTTTGTACCATCATTCATTTGTCACAGGCAAAAGATCACACATATAATAAAACTCCATGGACTTCATTTCTTGTTTTGGCCATTAAATGTAGTTATAGGAGGTCTTCCAGTGCTAATTTAATGTCAGGCAAGTGAGCTGCAAAATGCTTTACACATTCAACATGATCTGACCATCTTGTTTCAGACATTCCATGAAGAAAACAACCAATATGGTTTTGTAGTAATTCCCACCGCTTAGGACTGGAACTGAACAAGTGGTACACAGATTGAATTGTTCCGAAAAATGTTATTGCTTCAGGTGTGCATTCAGCAGCATCATTTTCACATAAGCTGAGTGTGTGTGACAACCGCAAAGTGAAAAAATTGCTGTTGAGCATTGTTCTTGTATTTTTGCTTTTGCACCATTGTATTTTCCAGTCATATTTGCCACATTATCATAGGCTTGAACTCTACAATCACTGAGAGGAATAGCATGTTCTTTCAATGTATCAGTTATCAACTGAGCAGTTTCTTCCCCTCTTTTGTTGCTACAATTTGCAAACTTGAGAAATCTTTCTTGAATCTCATACTGCATTTCTTTTATGTATCTCAAAGAAATATTGTTTGTTTAATATGGGAGGAATCTGGTGTGGCATCTACTATTACTGCAAAGTACTTTGCAGACTGCCTCTCAAGCAAAATGTGTTGTTTCACAAGATTCAAGCATTCTGAAATAAATTCATTTTGTGAGTCAGGGAACAGATAAAGAACTTGAAGCCGCTCACTCCTTTTCTGTGACTCCTCTACACTTAGCACATGCTCCTGAAGGATGGGGTCCCACCTGGAGAGCAGTTCAATGAGTCCTAAGAAGTTTCCATTGCTTGAATCACCAATTCGATGGGATGAACCATTAAATGCCAGACCACGTTCTCCCAAGAAGAGTACAACATCAATGATGTGCTTTAAAATATTGTACCATTTCACAGCTTCAGTTTTGATTGACGCTTCAAAGATGGTGTCAACTCCTGTCTCAGACAGCAGGTAACTTTCTAGTTTTCGCCAAGCTAGGTCACATTCTCTGTGACCATTGTCTTTTTCATGTTTTGGGATCCTGTGGGAAAGTTTCTGCCACTTCCCATTAGCATCCCAGCCTTCAGCAGATACCAGTGCAGACATAGATGCAGAAGTGCTAGTCTCAACTGTCTTGTGCCAAAATAATCGACATAGAAAGCAATATAATGCTTGTTTCTGTTGGCTCCAGACAAGCCAGTCTCTTACATGTAGTTCTCCATTGGTGCTTTGAAATTTCATTATGCTTTCTGGGAAAACTTGATTGCAGGTGTCTTTTGGGAATGTTTTAGGCAGAGGGATATTACCATTGGTAACATAATTGTCTATTTCCTTTTGAGATGGAAACTCAGTTATGATACATTCAATGTCAAGACCTACACAATGATTACTCCTTTCGTCTTCCAAATTCACTTCCACATGCACCTGTATGTCTGTTTCTTTCTGTGTTCCATTTTCATTTTCTGCATCTGCCCCTTCATAAAAATCATGTGCATGATTACCCAAGTCTTTGTTTGGGGATGAGGTTTCCAACAGTTTCTTCTCACTCCAATTTTATAGGTGAGTTCAATGAAAATTATTTTGAAGCCACACTTAATCCAAATTGAAAGAGCGTTTGTTGACCCCTTTTTTCATTTTCCTCTCGTTCTTTCTTTTCTATTCAGGGCTCCTGATTTGTGAGAATACATTTTGGAGAGATGGTTTATAATTTATACTTTTATATCTGAAAAAAGCAAAAAACAAAGTAAATTGTGGTCAAGCCAAAATAATCAATCAGACTTTGGGTAAGCATCACTAAGCCAGTGGGCTGCAGTATACTAGTAAATAGTGTTACGACAGCGGAAGTCCCGTGACGCTGGTAACACGTAAATGAGTATCTATAAAGATTGAGGAACTTGTCGAACGTCCTAGCAGTTGCTAGAATGGGGCTCTTATAGTATATAAGCCGGTAAATAAAGTGATGGCAACAATGGAATAGCAGACAGAGAGATTGAAGATATAGACAGACAATTGAGTCAAGCACGGTAGTAAGTAAAGTGTGTGAATCGTTCGTTGAGAATTATAGTCTGTGTTTAAGTTAAAGAGACTGTGGAAATTAAGTGTATTGCGAAGTTGAATTGAGAACGAATAGACTAGTTTTATTTGAGAGAGGACTTGTATCACTGAAGTTCTTCAGAAAAAATGTTTACGAGTAATTAACTAACGACCACAGACGTAACAATAGTAAAGGCTGCACACACTATAGCCCCCATTTTATCTAAATATCAGGCACGTGCCCAGGGGTGTTGCCTCCATTTTTCCGAACCCTAAATTTCTTTTTCTGTTTGCTGGTATGATGTTCCATATTGTCTTTGATGTTGCCTGATATATTTCCCACAATATTGACTGGTGCTTAAACGTGGTAGTTTGTTATGGTCAAGCCACCCGGATCTATGCTCTCTCCTGCACCCCAAGGGGGCCAGGACAACAATGATTATGAGATGTCGAACGTAATATTGAAACCGTTTACTTTTTCTAGTTCCTTGATTCCCTCAATGTTTTAAATAGAAATGAAATCACCACTTACGGTAGCATCAGGTCAATGCACATTGCACACGTTGTTTATTATTACCTACTGTAGGCCTATTGTCAAATGTATACCAGCACTACATCAATAAAAAGCATTCCACAGAAGTGGAAGTGTCGCCCGCGTGTGAAATAGGTCGACCGGAATTCGAACTTAAGCAAGGTTTTTAGGTAGACAAGGCACCATGTAAGTTTAAAGGAAATAATTATTCATTCAAAAAATACCGTTTGG